GATGCTTCCTCTTGGTGTTCAACAGTTGATCTAATTTTTGCGGATAACGTGCTCGAGGGTAGCAACCTGGTGATCGCCCTAAGCAAGGCACTAGAAGGCTGCGCATCACAATGGCTTTCCCAAATTTGCTTTGCCGGCATCACTTGGGCGCAGTTCTTCTGCCGCCATGCTATTAAATGTTCTGAATGGCCAAAGCCGGAGGAGGGCTTCGCCGAATACGGCAGCCGTATTGTGACGCTACTTATGTCAAAATGGAAACCCAAGGATTTGGAAGAAATAGCGGTATCAGTGACTCTGGCTCACATGGCGCAAATAGACAACAAGTTGACGCGCTGGGTTTTTACAAACAACGTGAAAACTCACAATGAGCTACAACAACAGTTACACGCACACTCTTTCAAATATCCCAGTATGGACGACGATTCAAAAGGCTCGGAGCGCAAGAAGTTCAAGTTTCCGACACCGATGAAATGCAATTATTGTGGAAAGGCTGGCCATAAATACGCCGAATGTCGTGCTCGCTTGGAGAAGGGCCAGAGCAAAGGCAAAATCCACAGCGGCAGCAACATGACTGGACCGAAGGATCGCTCAAGTGTTAAGTGCTTTAAGTGTGACGAAATAAGACATTTTGCATCTGCTTGTCCAAAAGGCCGAACGTATGAGAAGCGGGTAGATAGCACAGTAGCTCCACCGTCTGGAATAATAAGGGCATCCGGTGAGTCTATTCCATTTTGCTTTGATTCGGGTGCTGGATAAGGGAAAAAGAATAAATAACATTGTAAAACTTAACGGTATAAGTAATGATGCCATTTGTAGTTCTCAGCAAGTATTATGTAATATAAATATTGAACAATACTGCTTAGAAATTTTGTTACACGTAATAATGGATAAGTATTGAAATACGATGTGTTGGTTGGTCGTGAAATCATTAGCCAGGGCTTTGGAGTAATTATAGACGCCGACAAATTCCAAATTTATAAAACAAAAAGGGTAGATGTTTTGACTCTAACTGATTACAGAGATTTTATAAATGCTGATATTGATTTCCTAAAGTGTTACTCTGATTGGTTTATCAGCGGTATTCCAAAAACTCGAGTCTCGACAGGGCAGTTAGAAATTAATTTAATAGATCCACTAAAGACAGTGCAACGACGTCCTTACAGGCTAAGCGAGGAAGAAATAAACCATGTGCGCTGTAAAATTGATGAATTATTGAAAGCAAATATTATTCGCCCAAGTTGCTCACCTTTCGCCAGCCCTATGATGTTGGTAAAGAAGAAAAACGGCACTGATCGTCTTTGTGTGGACTATAGGATATTATATGAGAATACCGTTGCTGATAGGTATCCGTTGCCTCTTATCGCAGACCAGATTGCCAGGCTTCGCGGTGCCAAATATTTTTCGTGTTTAGATATGGCCAGTGGTTTCTATCAAATTCCAGTACATGAAAATTCAATAGAGCGAACCGCGTTTGTAACGCCAGAAGGGCAGTACGAGTTTTTGACCATGCCTTTTGGCTTGAAAAATGCACCTTCTGTGTTCCAGAGGGCCATAATAAGAGCATTAGGAACTCTAGCACACACATATGCTATCGTTTATATTGATGATGTGTTGGTTATAGCCGAAACCAAAGAAGAGGCGTTGGAACGGTTGCATACTGTACTCGAAACATTAAGTAATGCTGGATTTTCGTTTAATGTAACTAAGTGCTCCTTCCTTAAAACTCGTATAGAGTATCTGGGGTTCGAAATAAGCAACGGGGAAATTAGGCCAAACGCACGTAAGATAAAAGCATTGATTGATTTACCGCCTCCACAATCTGTGTCGCAGTTACGACAATTTATTGGATTGGCTTCATATTTCAGACAGTTCGTTCCAAAATTTTCGGAGACGCTTAAGCCTTTGTATCACCTAACGTCAAAGAAAATTACAACTTTTTCTTGGCAACAAGACCACGAGCAAATACGAGCTAAAATCATATCTGTGTTGACACAGGCACCCGTTTTGATCATATTCGACCCGCAATACGCAATTGAGTTGCACACTGACGCCAGTTCAATTGGCTATGGAGCTGTACTATTGCACAAAATTGATAACAAACCCCATGTCGTTGAGTATTTTAGTAAATGCACGTCTCCTGCCGAGTCAAAATATCATTCTTATGAATTAGAGACGCTAGCGGTAGTTAACGGTATCCGCCATTTCCGCCATTACTTACAGGGACGTAAATTTGTCGTATATACAGACTGCAATTCTTTGAAGGCTAGTCGCACAAAACTCGACTTAACGCCGAGGGTACATAGGTGGTGGACATTTTTGCAATCGTTTGACTTTGACTTAGAGTACAGAAAGGGTGAACGAATGGCGCACGTAGATTGTCTATCTCGGAATCCAGTGCCTGAGAAAAATAATGATCAAAATAAAATACCTGAGGAAAATAGTGTTCAGAATAAAATACCTGAGAAACGAATAAATTTGACTGAGGTAACCGACAACTGGTTGATTTCGGAGCAACAGCGTGATAGTGAGAGTTTAGATATATCAACTAAATTAAGAAATAATGAATTACCAGATAATTTAGATAAAACCTATGAATTACGAAAATGTATTTTGCATAGGAAAATACAGCGAAATGGTAAAACTAAATGTCTACCGGTAATTCCAAGGTCATTTAGATGGGCAATTATCAATCATAACCACGAATCAATAATGCATTTGGGATGGGAAAAGACATTAGATAAGGTTTATAGCTATTATTGGTTTCAAAATATGTTCGTCGGTTCGTAGAGAACTGTATCACTTGTAAACTATCGAAGCCACCCGTAGGTAAAGTGCAGGCAGAGTTACATTCTATTCCCAAAATAGATATACCGTGGCACACGGTACATATTGGAATAACAGGAAAATTGAGTGGTAAAAATGACTTAAAAGAATACGTTATTGTCTTAATAGACGCATTTACAAAATTTGTTTATTTTTACCACACTTTGAAAATAGATACGGAAAGTTGTGTTAAGGCCGTAAGATCACTTGTTTCCTTATTTGGCTTGCCTACCCGAATTATAGCGGATCAAGGTCGTTGTTTTGCAAGTTCAGATTTTCGTGAGTTTTGTTCCTCTCAAAAAATTAATTTGCATTTAATTGACACCGGTGCGAGTAGGGCCAATGGTCAGGTCGAGCGAGTAATGAGTACACTCAAAAGTATGTTGACGGCTGTGGAAACCGGTCAGAGATCGTGGCAGGATGCGTTGGCCGAGGTGCAATTGGCAATGAATTGTACGGCGAATAGAGTAACTAAGTTTAGCCCATTAGAATTGTTAATTGGTAAGGAAGCTAGACCTTTTGGCTTACTACCAATAGATGAAAAAGTTGATGACAAAATAGACAGAGAAAATCTAAGAAAACAAGCCAAACAAAATATGGAAGACGGCGCACGATATGATAAGCGCAGGTTTGATAGTAATAAGGCGAAAATTATTAAACATAGTTTAGGCGATCACGTATTGATTAAGAATGAGGAGCGTCATCAAACTAAGCTTGACCCTAAATTTAAAGGGCCGTTTGAGATTGTCAAAATACTAGATGGAGATAGATATCTGTTAAAGTCCTTAACAAGTAAGCGAACTTACAAATACTCCCATGAATTCTTAAGAGCTTTGCCGAATAATGAGCTAATACGCGAAGATAGAGACGGCACGATGGAAGGTGCGTGTCGCAGTGTGATTCCCAGTAAATGTAGCATTCTGGTAATTTGGGAATTCGGGGAATTCCCTGCTTCTGCTTTACTCATTGATATTGAGCGAATGCACGGCAGCAGAGGCAGAGACGCTCTGCTGCTGAGTGAGGTTCGATAGTAAGATACCAAGAGTCTTGAGTAAGACAGAGATGGCTGTATACGCTCGACTTGAGTAAGTTTATGACGTGAGCGCGTATGCAAGAGTCAGTTGAGCTTGGGTATTCGAACCAAACGGAACTCGCTGTGCAGCTGCGAAAATCAATAAAAGCATCAAGATGGAAAACATACCCTTTCCGCCGACATATATATATTCTTGATCACGATCAATAGCGAAGTCGATTGAGCCATGTCCGCAAGGCTTTAAAGAGCAGAAATTATTAAATGATAACAATACTATTTTAACTGCTATATATAAATGGCGATGCTATGGCAGCAGTGGTCCATCGACTTATCGTCAAAAGTTCGATGATAGTTAAATGAGTATGGTCGATCAGCACCTATTTTAAATCTGTCTTGTCTTAAAAGTCCTTTATCAATTCGACATTGTCGGCCCATCAAGCAAATTTGCTAATTTGAAACTGAACATATAAATATCAAATATTAGCAATTAAACCAGTAATAACCGATTTTATACAATTTTCCATAAATTTAACATGACCAAGTTTAATGGAAAAAAATTTAGAGTCCTTGCAAAAGCTTTCGTTTTCGCTCCCACGCATCGTCCTGAGCTGATTGCTCTCCGCTCCTCGCTCCCAGCTTCCAGCACTGGGACAAGCAGCAAACTTAACATGCCGCCCGCCAATGCTAGACCTAGCATGAGAAACCTTCGCTTGTCCGGTCCATCCTGGTTGTGGGGTAGAATCTAGTATGGGAAAGAAAACAGGAAGTGTGCGCAAGAAATAAATTATAATTGAGGTGTGTATGTGAGGGCGCTTATGACCGGATCGGCAGTGGACAGAGTTTCGACACCGCACGCTTCAACCGGCCTTGCTTGGTTTTAAGCGTGACAAATGGAACCAACGTATCCGTGGCTTAGCTCGACGATCGGCACATCCCCGATCGTGGGAAAAGGTTCTAAGTGCGATAGAAGATATCTCGGATACCCCGATCGCACTTATCTTTAAACATACTGTGACCGGTCGCAAGAGGTCAGATTACATGCCAAGTGCTTTTGGCACCGCGTTGTGTCAGGCTCAAGTGGGCGCTGCCAGGCCGCAGCAATTTGGTACAGATGTAGATTTTATTACCTAAACATCCGCAGCCTTTACATGTCTAATATAAACATAGTCGTGTTCGTCTGAACACCAATCAAGAAATGAGCCTGCGTGAGCACCTCTAGGTCGTCTGCGTTCGCTGTAAGAGGACAAAGCGGCCGCGAGTTTAGACATGCTTCTATGCTTATAAGCACCGTAGTCAACCTTGCTGCCTTGAGTTCTATAGTCAACTCCCGTTGCAATGAATGGACGACTAGGGGGGTGCCCTCGATGAATCGGCAAGTCTCCCATGAACTGACCCGAAGCGGAGGGCTGAAATGATGGGAACTTGGGAGTATTTTCGGATGCCGGCGGTCATATGGCAAGTTAGAATGCCGTAGTCGCCCCCTCACTTGCAGGATGCCTTCCGACAAGATCGGCGACAAGCTCAAAAGCTGACTTCGCGCAGGTAGCCGTTTACTATCTCTTACTGCAGCCAAATCTATTGGGAATTATTCCCGCTGCACAATGCGCACTATAGCCCCTAAAGCAAAGTCAAAGACAGCATTGTGCCTGAACCGCAACGCATAGGCCGTGACTCATACAGCCCGGCTGAAAGTAGAAAATCTGCCAACGATCGCCGGAAGTGGGCTGTGCCTCTAGTGCGGCACGTTGGCCTGCACTCGTGCCAGTCGACCTGCTCGGACTTCATAGAAGGCCAGTCCACTGCAGCGTCTCGCCACCATAAGCCAAAGCCCTTCAATCACCCGAGACAGTTCACGCCGCACAGTCCGCTGGATTCTCAGCCGCGCCCACATGCCTCCATTGCGAGGGCGAAGAATGATCCAGAATAGAACGCGACCCTGTTGTCCACGAACGTCTTCCACCAAGCTGAGCTGACACTATACATCCAGGGGAATAATGAATCCATCGGTCTATGCTTATGTCGTCGATCCTCAGCAACCCGTCCCGAAACGTTTGCCACCGTTTTACGAGGGCGTCCAGAACCTCGTCGTACCACTCCATTGCCGACTGAGTGCCATCCGCATGCTCTTTCTTTGCCATGGTTACCTCCTTTAAGATCAGATTTCCCACGATGATGACTGGTGCGATGAGACCCAGTGGATTAAACAGCGTAGCTATGCTCGATAGAATCATCCTTTTCGTGAACCTAGCTGGAATCTCAAAATCGATCTGAAATTTAAAACAGTCCTTATTCGGGAGCCAATGCATCCCTAACGCCTTGATAGGATCCGTAGTGTCCCAGTTTAAAGGAGTCCGGCTGCACTGATGCTCCGCAGGAATCGGGAGCAAGAGACTGGACTCGTTGCTAGACCATTTCCTCAACTCCAGGCACGCGGATTTTATCGCCCCCGATACTTGTGTCCGCTTATCCCTTGCCTCCTCCAACGTGACACCTCTTCCGCCTTGGGAAACGAACGACGCTCGTCCTTCGCCAACTGCTGGATGACCATGATGGTCGTGAATGGTGCAGACGCCGTACCAAAGGTTGACGTTGACAACGCGAAAACGCTGATGGACTCATCCATCGCCCGCCATAAAGTCCGCTGGTATTGGGCGTCTTCCGGATGAACATCTTTACAACAATACATCTTCTGGGTATCCGCTGTAAAAACGAAACGATATTTCCGCCAATTCAGTATGGCGTGCGACATGTTGTTCTGAAGGGCAGGCCCAGTCCACAACACGTCGTTTAGAGATCTTCCGTTGCTAGTCCTTGCGGAGGCGTCAAAAACGATTCTTTGCTTAAGGGACTGCGGCTCCTTCTTAAAGACCGCATGATGCGGCAGCACGCAGGAAGCCACATGCCTACCCGTCGAAGTACGCATCAGCAAACTGCTTTCACTGCCCACCGACGGCGCTATCTGCTTGAGGGCAAGGTACTCCTCGATCTCCTCGCTATATTTGATCCACCGCTCCGGAGTGCTGGACAGACGCCGTTCCAACTGCAAGAACCTATTCAGCGCCATCTGATGCGATCTTTCCAGAAACATAGTTGGATCCATGTAAGTTTTGAAGGGCAACCGTACCACGTACCGGCCATCCGATAGCCGAATATGTGTCTTCTGAAAGAAGGCTTCGCACCAGAGGTCCCCCTCCGATATTAAAAGAACGGTCCGGAAACGGCCTCCACCCTCACCGAAACGCTTGAGCAATGCCTCGGTGTCCAGAGCACCCGATGACACCGTACCGGAGTCGCTTCCCGCACTCCGTCCGCCAAACCAGATAGGATCCACCCAAGGTGAGTGCTCTGAGCTATAGGCTCGCCGGGCAGCCCGATCCTGGTGTTCGGCAACATGATTTGCGCCAACAGGTCCACACCCAAGATGAGGTCAATTCGCTGCTATCGTGAGAAGCACGGATCCGCCAGCAGGAGCCCTCGTATTCGGTTCCAACGCTGAGGCGTGAAGCTCCGACAAGGAAGACAGGAAGTAACCGAATTGACATACGCGAAATTAACGTCTACTAAAAAGTCAGGGTTAACATTACTACGGATTTCAAAATTGACTGTATATTTGCACCGACGACCGCCCCCAAGACCCATCCCAAAAATAGATATTCGGGTGCCAGATCGCTTCAGATGCAAGGACTGTATCACGTGCTCCGAGACATTGGTTGCCTCCGATCCTTGGTCGACCAGGGCGTTTATGACAGCGCGCAGTCCGTTGACCGGGTTACGCACAGTGATACGAGCAGTGGCGAGAAGGACATATCTCAAAGTCAGATCCGACGACGTTGCTGAATAGCATTCGTAAGATGCGCCGGGGTTCTGGTCTGTCGTTGGCTGCCTGCGCTGTTGAGATACGCTCTCCCTGTCTGCAGGTGCACTAGGAGTCGGCGCCACATGATGCGGCGGCACACCGCTCGGCGACTGGCTATGAGCCAAAGCAGGAAAATGCAACAATGTGTGATGACGCTGCCCACAAACTTGACAGCCTTTATTACTCGTGCAGCGCGAAAGGGCATGTGCCTTACTTAGACAATTGATGCAAAATTTAGCCCTGCTTACTATGTCCTTCCTCTGGTAGCAGTCTAGGGCCAAAAACGTTGAGCAACGACGCAGGTCGCCGCCGCAGTGGTAACAGGCGCCGCTAGGGCGCCTAGCGTGCTCCTGTGCACTGTGCACTCGCACTCGTTTGGAAGGGTCTGAAGATCCTGGGCCAGCAGCGGAGTCGAACGACGAGCCTCGGTTCTCAATCGCATCCATTACAACCAGCCGATCGTTTAAAAATGACTCCAACTCTCTGTAGGATGGAACTGTGGAAACAACTCCCTGATGGTGCTCCCAAGCGTTGTGGGTCTTCTTTGGTAGCCTCGATGCTACGTAGTGTGCCAGCCAGTGCTGCGATGCCCCGTCCAAGGCTTGAACGCGGCGGAATACAGCCAGACAAACATTGACCGTGCTTAGCATCGACCGTATTAACTCTGTGTTGTCCTTCTGTAGCCTAGGCAACGCGTAGATGGCATTCATGTGGTGGGCGAAAACGAGGCGAGGATTGTTGTACCTCTTGATCATCAATCCCCAAGCCACCGAATAGTTCCCTTCCGTGAGCTGCATCTGAAGGATGTCATTATCGCCGTCCCTCGGCAGCGACTCCTTGAGGAAGTGCAACTTCTGCACACTACTCAGATTGGCGTTGTTGTGGCGGGAAAGAGAACATCTGTGTTTGCGGCAAATATGGAGTAGATTATATATTTCAATGGCTAGGGACGCTCCCCAGGAATCTATTTCACTTAATACATCAACAAATTTATATTTAACAATATTTAAATTTTTTTATTTGGAAAAAAGGATAGCGTCATCTGCCTAAATTTAGAGTTGAATGTCTATATGTCTACTTAAAATACAATTGAGTTTATCAAAAGCGATAATAAAAAGAACTACTAAAAGGGGGGAGCCTTGCTGTATGCCGTTATAGAGACGCTAATATAGAGAAGCGATTTTTCGTGGAAAGAGCGTTAGACGCGAAGTGGTAAATACGCAACAAGGCGTCCATAGTGCTATACTTTTGTTTAAATGCAACTTGGTTTTGCGAGATCAGGTTATTTCGAGTGATAACCCACATAAGTCGGCGGGAAATTATTATTTCCATTTTTTTTCATAACCAGGAAAGGAGGGTGGTTGTGCGGTAACTGTACATTTCGGCCGGAGGTTTAATTGCTTTGGGATTTGGCATGATAGTGGCTGATCTCCAACTACGTGGGTATTTTCCGGAGCTAAAAATGGGATTATATATTTCTAAAAGCCTGGTTTTAAGAGAGAGTGGCATTTCTTTAAGCATTGGGTAGGATAACCGGTCATCCCCTGGGGTTTTACCCTTTGAATGCATGTTCGATTTTGGCTAATGTGATGTTTTTTTCTAAGCATTTCAGGTGACGACAGAGCTGTCGGAAAATAGGACTGCGATAAGTAGGCTTCTTTTTGGTGTACGTATTCGGCTGAAAAGTTACGTCAGTGAAATAGTTTGACCAAAGATTGTTGAGCTCTTCGGCGATATCCTGAGAACCTGTTGCGATATTCCTGAATTCTACTTCTAAAATTGAAATGGCTGTGGTGGTACCGGGCAGGTCTTTTTATGTCTCGCGAGACTTTTTCCGAAAAAGATAAAGGGGTGATATCCCTGGTAAAATTTTCAAGACTAGTTTGTTTGGCAACCAAGTACAGATTTTTTAAACTACATTGTCATGGCACCATTCTGGCCTTGGTGAACAGATGTTGGTTTTCATTTTGAAGCCCTCTGAAGGCTGTAATTCCACCACAGAACGTGCGCACAACCCGTTTGGTTGAGCGGAATACTACAGTTAGCTGCGGACCTAATTCCTTAAGTTATTTTGTGCAACTTGGTGGCTCAGACAACCGGACTTACAATCCATAGCTGTTTGTTCTTTTATAGATCTTTATACATTTCAATTGGCTAAATTTTTTTTAAGTTTAAAGGTTGGAGGGTAGGGGCAGAGCCAAGAGTATGGAAAAATCAATAGACATGGGAAAACATTGCAGGTAGTGAGGAAAGGTTA